TTGAGCATTGTGGGCCACCATCCTTCTTAACTCAGCTAACTCATCTTTGAGCTGCTGGTTAGCTGTATTGTTGTATAGGGTATGTAGGGCTTCCCATTTTGGGCTGCGATCATTGCCCGATAAGGTTTCCTTCCTTGGGTCGAGCTATCTCCACTTGGCATCCCTCCCTTACTGGCCAATAGTGAGGGCCTATAAGGATGAGGCTTGTCTGCCTTGGTAGGCTCGCCTTTTTCCACTGGATTCTTCGATTAACTAGGGTATCTCATACTTCTTTCTTTCTTGTTTGTTCTGCCCCTACTATCTAGTGAAAATAATAAGGGGTCGGGCAACTCTGCTTCTAAGATATCTTCCATCACTGGCTGACTAACTCCAGATCCCTCATTGTCCTTCCCTTTATTCCTTTTTTCCTCAAGCAAATGAAATATGAGGATAACTGATTCTTTCTTAGGACTAGCCACTCTCATCACTTCCCTGGCATAACCATTTTTTGGAGTAGAGTACTCCAGATCTAATCTTTTTTACAAATTCCCTATTAAAAAATAGAGTCTACTTACTTCTCTACTAGTTTCCAGAGTGATCTTCTCCATACTTTTCAGCACTTGTACCATGGTGGCTTGCAAATCTTCATTGGTTACCTTCCTTCCTGACTTCTCGGATGAAGTTAGGCTTTCTAGAATAACTGGTCCTTGGAGGGAAGGAAAATCCTCTAGATGATTTGTAATGCTTGATCTTAGTAAACACTGGGGTGGCCCGTATTCTATGTTCCACCTAAAGGTTTTCTCCTTCCTTCTCATTTTTGGCATACAAGACTAAATGGGATCCCACCAGGCGTGCCAAAACTATGTTCGGGCAAAGATTTCTCTGGAGAAGGATCCTAGGACCTAAGCATAGCTCCCCAAGGGATTGGCACTTTGGATGTGTAGTCGATCTCTTGCTTGTTGATATGCTACAAGAAGAGGACAAAGTTAGTTCTGAAATGTGCCTTTGTGGGCCTTAGGTGTAGGCTTTGAGGCTCGCAATCAAAACTAAGTGCTAGGCGTGCCACTGCTATCTCAGTATAGCAGATATAGAACAAGAGTGTTTTAAGTCGATTACTTGCGCCCCAAGTTACTCGAACTTCTTATTATCAAAAGATTGTCGTGGATGGGTTAAGTCCACATTAAGTTATTTTTCTTGCCTTGTAAATAAGGACTTTTAGTTCATAGTCTTGCATGTTTGAATGAATGGAGTCCAAATCCCTTTAAGTCATTTGTTTGGTCCTAGATTGCTTTTAATGATAACATAGCCATTAAACTAACCAGATCCAGATGCAAATGGAACTCTTAAGATAGGGAAATTGATGGAAATAACTTGAATACATAATATAGAGTGCACTAAGTAATAGATCTATTAATTAAAAAAACAAACAAAGAGCTTCGTGCAAGATTTCACCTTGTCTGTCAAGGTTAAACCTCTTGCAATCACTTCCCTTTGAATTAACAGGGGTTTATATGCTAAAAAATGGATGGATGGTAAACAAGTTTACACAAAGGAATTGATATTACACTACTAAGGGAGATATCAAAGCTTTAAACTGGACAAGAGATATCTTGTCGCTAAAAATGACTGAATCTGGGTTGATTTCAGCTTTTGAATGCAAATCTGGCTTGAGAGCAAAGTTTGTATGTTTATTTGTTTGATTGGTTGAGTGTCCTTGTCTCTGGGGCGTTTTCTTCCTTTTATAGGCAAATTAGCCTGACTGCTGTAACTTTGTTCTTGCCCGAAAGCACTTGGAGGGTAGTGAGTCATCAGCTTTTTACTTGGATTTCTAACAGTGTCGTACCATTAAGTTTCATAAACAATCAAAAGAGGAGATAGAAGAATGCATTACCTTTATGTTTTATATACAGTGTAGTACCATTAAGCTTCATAAAAAATTGTAGCACCATTAAGTTTCATAAACGATGTAGTACCGTTAAGTTTCATAAATAGTGTAGTAAGTTTCATAAACAATGTCGTAAGTTTCATAAATAGTGTAATACCATTAAGTTTCATAAACAGTGTAATACCGTTAAGTTTCATAAACAGTGTAATACCGTTAAGTTTCATAAACAGTTTGTGTGAGGACGCGCTGGTCCATGCATCAGATTTTTTTGAATTTTTTTTAATATTAGAATTATGTATTTTTCATTAAAATTTAAGTTCTTTTGTCATTTTTATTAAAATTTAAGAGTTTTTCATTAAAATTTAAGTTTTTTTCATTAAATAAAGTTATAAAATAAACTTAACCCAAACCCTTTTCATGAAAGTTCCACAAAATAATGACAATACTTATCCATGAGTGCACCTTACTTGTCCACTTATATATTTTCACCACACAAACGATCAAAAGTTCAGAATAGTTTATTCTCCTTACCATCATCTGAAAATCATCTCTAAAAAAAACCAAACTAAAACAAAACAAATCATTCAAAGGAAAACTAATGAAAAAGGCTTGAAAACTTTGAGTTTTAATGATAAGGACAAAATAAAGGGTAAAGTGAATAGTACCAGGATTGACTTTTTAGTGTAAAAATGTGGTTTTTCGTTAAAGTGAACAGTACCGGGTGCTTTTCGTTAAAGTTCTCATCATTCAATGGATACCTTATAACCATCCACATGTGCCGAACAAATATAGCTAGTTGATTTTGTTAACCAGTAACATTATTGTGGTACACATCGATTTGATGCATAGAGATAACTTAAAGTTCTCCAATGTAAATGATTTTTTAAAGATATCTTTAAAGGACAATGACAAGAATGAATCATTTTAATTATAACATTCACAATAAGTACTTCACTAGATAATAAAGATGTTTCACAGACCCAACAAAAACTTGAGTTTTATGTTTTTTATGTGTAAAAAATTGTAAATTTTAGAAAATGACATCCCCAATTCGACCTTCTTAGACCATCTCCAAAGAAGATGTTAAATATGTTAAATAAGATTAAAAGACATTAGAGTGTTCTCCAATGGATATGTTATATATGATGTGGCAATTAAGTCATTTGACTCATTGCTTTCTAGTTGTCTTTTTTGAGAGCAAACAAAGAAGGGGTCAAATACATTTAATATAATTTTTTAATACATGGATCCCATTAACAACCAATAGAATAAAAACTAAAATTAATTTTGATTATTTTTTAAAAGTTAATGTAACTTTGGGCCCAATAAAATAATAAAATAAATATTTGATACATCTATTGGAAAAGAAGATGATTTAGAACTTGTATTCAATTTGCCACATCAGCTGTCAAAAAAAATTTTGACATATTATATTTGACATCTTCTTTGGAAATGCTCTTACACAATTATTATATTTGAGAACGGTAATGCTAAGAAAACCAAATTCCTTAAACCAAATCTCTTAATCAAATAAGGTGGCTGATGAGGTTGGCATGCCATGTCACTAACACAGATGTTAAAAACTCTTAATTACTTATTAAAAAAAATTACTGATAATTTTGACTATCCATTTGCCCGGTCTACTATGTGGGACTCTTCTTCTTCATCCTCTCTCTTCTCTCCCGATCGCTCAAGATCACCAGCTCAAGATAATAATTCTTAGAGGTCATGAATATCTTAAATACTTGATAATACTATTATTTAACCTAATAGGATAATACTATAGTGCAACTTAGAGGTCTTGAGTATCTTAAATACTTGATAATACTACATTTCCATCAGAAACACCAGCTCAATACCACCAACGACAAGAACTGACTGCCGGCGACGGTAAGATCGTATTTGAGGAAGGATGTTGAGCAGTCGGGTGAGAAGACTGATCGTCGGCAATGGTAAAATCATATTAGAGGAAGGAGGGAGCGGAGAGAAAGGAGGTAGAGCAGTCGGGAGAGAAGAGAGAGGATGAAGAAGAGTCCCACATAGTTAAACATGCAAATGACTAATTTGAATTATCATTTTTTATTTTATTTTAGAAAGTAATTAAGAGGTTTAAATTTTGAGTTAGTGACATGGCATGGCCAACTCATCAACCATCTCAATTGGTTTAGGGATTTGATTTAAGAAATTTGGTCTCCATAGCATCTATAACATGACATTCCAAATTAGACCACCTTGCACCATCCTTATTGATACATTATCCCGATATCGACATTGATGCTAGTCGCGTCGTGTGGACACATCCGCTGACTCTAAAGTTGAGGCACATAATTGAAATAGGGGTGTGATATTTACACACCCCATTTTACTTCTCACACACCCTTCTAATTTTTGGCCGTCGGATCGGATTAATTGAAGAAGATCAATGGACAAAAATTAATAAGGGGTGTGTGAGAAGTAATTTGGGGTGTGTGGATAGCACACCCCTTGAAATATTGATGACATATTGATAAGTTAGTTGATATGTGGTTGAACAATGACATAACAATGATCTATAGATTGCGATGATTTATCAATGCGATAATCAACAATAAAAGTAGGCAGATTGTTTGAACTCAAGATGCATTTCAACCAATTAAGACGTAAGATCTTAACTACCATACCAATGTACCACTTACATATTGTTACTGTTTAAAATTTCTTCAATACGATTAATTTTTCTATGATAATATTGAAAAAAATTAGAGAAAGCTGTGGAAATGAGTGACGAAGTCTAAACTTCACCTTATATTTCGTCCAAACTAATATTTGACAATCCAAAAAATTTTCATTTTTTTCACCATTTCCATCGAAAGCAACTGATATCGATATCAATATTTTCACAAATTTGCAATTGATATTTTCACCGGCACCAATGAAAAAAGAAAATAAAAATTCTCATAGTGGGCTTGGCAATCATAAGGTTTAGTGCCTGGTGGGCTTCGTTGGAAAATCAAAATCTCTTTCAATATTGTGCACTTTGCTCCAAACCCAGATCACAAAATAGTCCATAAGCCCCAAAATCGATCCCATAATTTCCGCGCAAAGAAGCAAACGGTTTGAAATTCCACACGAAAACCACACATCATTGCTTTGCTAATTCCAGATTCCAGCGTCCCTGATTCGATTCACAGAAGAGAAGAAACCCAGTTCACTTTTCCTTGAGCTTCTTCCTCTTGTTCTAGAGAGAGAGAGAGAGAAAAAGAGGAGAGAGAGAGATGGAGGATGATGATTCGCGCCAGGGTTTGACTTTGGGAGCATGGGGAAGTGTTCCTCATTCCCAAATATTTTTAAATTTCTCTGGCAGTCGCCTGGAATCTCGCCTTCCCACTCTGTTTCTTCCTTTCTTAATACTCTCTCTCTCTCTCTCTCTCTCTCTCTCACAGAGTTACTGCCACACTTAGCTCAGATCCACACCTAATCGCCTTTGCGTGTTCTTAAAAAAGATGGGTATTCATGAATTCACGCTTTCTTCATGATTTTCATTGCCCAATTGTTTGATATATCTCCCTTTTTCTGCCTTCGCTAAGCTATTCCCATTCCCATTCATTGTCTTCTGTTATAAATTTCCAGAGTTTGAAAGACTGAATCAAAAAAGAGCAATAAATTTCCAGAGTTTAAAAGACAATCAAAAAAGCGCAAAAGCGTTTATTGGTAAGAGAATTTAGCTTTGAGTGCAAAAGATATGATTTTTAGCTTCAGAAATGAATTTGAGCTTAGTTTTCAATAGGGTTGTTGATTTTTTTGCTTTTTCAGGTGGGTGATATGTCATCTGATTTCGAGTTGGATCAAGTAAAAGGCCATGATAGTGAGGACCCAGAAGTTGGCTCTATCAATGGAGGACTACATTCGATCCTTCCGGAACGAAGAGCTGTGACATTGACTGACAGGTAGACTCCTCAGCTACTCTTACTTTTTGTTGATCGAAGGCTTTGAAGCTCCACAAGAAATTGATTTTTTGTTTTGTTATTGTACTTATTTAGTTAAAGAGGTAACTTCGATGAACACTATGAATTTTTTGTACTTATTTGGCGCATTGTCCCTTTTTTCGGGTACTTTCTTAAAAACAGGTTGTTTAGAGGGAGTCGAGGAGGGCATGGTGCCTCTGTTCCAAACGGTGGGGATGAAGAGCGTGAACATGGGTCAGCAAGGAAATCTGGACCTCTGTTGTCTGGGACAGCTTATTGCATTTCTTCTTGCAGTATGATATTGCTGAACAAAGTTGTTCTGTCCGGTTACAACTTCAATGCAGGCGTGTCATTGATGTTTTATCAAGTATGTATTGTAATGCCCTTCCAACCGACTTTCTTTGATAAGGACGAAACACGTACAAGGGTTTTGATTTTTCGAGGCTGATAATTGAGCCTTTGTCACTAACTTGATGATCATTTCTTTGCACTTCCACAAATTTAAGCAGTCATAGCAAAAACTTTTTTCTTCCTTATGCTTCTCTGCAGAATTTGATAAGTACCGTAATTGTTGTCCTCTTGGGCTTCTCTGGAGTCGTTACAGTGGAAAAGTTGAATTGGAAACTGGTTAGGGTCTGGATCCCTGTCAATGTAATCTTCATCGGCATGCTTGTATCGGGCATGTATAGGTAACTTGTTGACCGCATACTCTGCATCTTTTGGTGTTTTTTTTTCATTTTCAAATTAGAATTATAGTTCATGCCTAGAGTAAAAGAAAGGTTGTGAAGAGAATATTGGATCCACAATATATATTTCACTTCATTCGAATCTCTGTATTGTTTATTGCCAAAGATATTCTAACATACATGGAGAACTTTGTCTACTGTGATTAATATGTTTTTCCTTTTTCAGTTTGAAGTACGTAAACATAGCAATGGTAACCATTCTGAAGAATGTGACAAATATTTTAACAGCACTTGGAGAATTGTATTTGTTCCGGAAACATCAGAACCAGAAAGTGTGGACTGCCATGTTTTTTATGGTAATCAACTCTACAGTTATCGTTGATGAAGTATATTTAGTTTTTCCTTCCCCAGAAAATATTTTTACAGAGAAGTTTTGAATAATTGTTTCCATATGTATTGCAGATTATCTCTGCTATCAGCAGTGGCATTACAGATATCTCCTTCGATACGGTAGGTTACGCATGGCAGCTTTCAAACTGCGTACTAACCGCAAGCTACTCAGTAAGTAGTAGTGTTAAGTTTTGGAAATTTGTTAATTCTAGTTTGTATCGGGGACCTGTAAATTTATATTTGGATTATTTGAATTATACCTCAGATCATTTTATAATTTGTGCGAATACTCTCTATTTTGACAGCTCACTCTACGGCGAGTCATGGATGAAGCAAAGAAGTACACAAGATCTGGATCGCTCAACGAAGTTTCAATGGTCTTGCTGAATAATTTGTTATCTCTACCTTTCGCTGCATTTTTTATTATTCTGTTTGATGAATGGGAATACGTACTGAACGTGTAAGCTTTATCTCTATAATTCAAAGTTTGACATAAACTTCATGCCATTTTCTCCTAGGAAGCACATTAACTTTACTTCTACTTACTGTTTTGGTTTCAATATGCAGAGATGTGATCAAATTGCCAATGTTTTGGGTTGTTGCTACAGCTAGCGGATTGCTTGGACTTGCCATCAGCTTCACCTCCATGTGGTTTTTACATCAAACTGGCCCGACCACCTACAGGTAACATCGATGTATACTCAAGATCAAAACGAAAACTTCATATGAGTATCTATATAGGAACCTCTGATGTTCTTCTGCTTTACAGTCTCGTCGGTTCCTTAAACAAAATTCCTATCTCTCTCGCTGGTTTAGTCCTTTTCAAAGTGCCTCTTAGTCCACCAAACCTCTTCAGCATACTATTTGGTAAGCAACTGTGAAGACCTTGAATACCAGTGTGATTCTTTTGGTGTTCTACTTTCAACTTATTAACTTTTGTTTACCCCAGGTTTATTCGCCGGAGTATTCTTCGCCAGGGCCAAAATGTCCTGATCCGGACCTACACTTACTATTGAACTCAAGGAACTGATTCGCGCTCGGATTTAAGAAACTGGCTGCACGTAACGGTTTCCAGGCCTAAGAAGTGGATACTTGTTTTTAGTTTTTGTTTTGTTGTTCTGGTGCGAAATCTTTTCCTTTCTTGGTGAAGAAGGCAAAGATTCTATTTCCTCCAAACATAGCATCAATGAGTTACTGGAGTTGAAAACTGCACCTCAATTTAGATTTACTAATTGGCTGTGTTTGGCCAAGCTAGATGTAGCCATCATATTTTTTATTTATTTTTTTGGTTAATAATGGTTCTCTATGAGATTTGAACTCGAAATCTCCTCAACAAAATGGAGACTAGACGTCACTAAACCAAACAGTCATATGAACACGATAAGGAAAAAAAACAGTTACTTTCTTATCACGTAGCTAGTATTACCTCCATGTGACTTTTTAATATTTGTTTTGCAGACGTTGTTAAATTGGGTAAAGTGGATATGTTTCTTCTTATAAAATGAGTTCAAATTTCCTCTCCTGAAATTTACATTAGTTAAACGTTTTAATATCGCTTTAGGTAATTATTCATAAATATTAATTACTTTTTTTAAAAAAATTAAAAACCTCTTCATCTACTTTAGTAACGGAAATTGTAGTGTCAAGGGCTTGAAGATAATGTTCGAAAGTTATTAAATCAATAAACTGAGCTCATTCTTTTCTCTGAGTCAAAATGATCATACACACAGGACATACCTTATTTCTTGAATCCAAATTAAAAAGAAGCAATGAGAGACCAAAAATTCAAAAATTAAAACAAAATGTATAAAAATAAAATAAAAATATATTACGATGAGGGAGATTAATCCGAAAGAAATTGGAATATGTACAATTGGCCAAGCATTTAGTAGGCATACAAATTAAAAAGCACTAAAACTGGGGCTTGAAGTTTTGCCAGAATTCCTCTTCCTAATAAATTATAATTAATTCATAATTAACCCGGACACTTAAAACAATTTTCCAAGATTTAATTTCTATCCCTCATTTTCGTTTGGGTTACAATGATCCAAAATACCCTCTGATTTCATAGGTGACATGAGCTAGAGTGTTCATTTCGGGGGCAAATTTATCTTTCCATCATGATGGCAACATAGTGATTAACATTTGGTAGCTGCCCAGATAATTACCTGAGGGTTAGTCCAAAATTTTAAAAATCTTGTAACAAAAAATAATTTTAATAACGAATGCACTAATCTCTCTCAAACTCTTTCTACTTTTGTACAAGAGAGGAAGCTCAGGAGTTACAGCCAAAGAGAATTCTCAACCGTTAGATGCATCTTCAGATCAATGGCTATTATGCCATGTGGCTCATTACTTGGCATAATACATGCTATTTGTCAAGCTATCGTATGGGATTGTTTGCTCTCTCTCTCTCTCTCTCTCTCTCTCTCTCTCTCTCTCTCTCTCTCTCTCTCTCTCTCTCTCTCTCTCTCTCTCTCTCTCTCTCTCTCTTTTAGTCTAAAGCTCAAACTAAAAACATAAAAAAACTCCTCAAAAAAGCTTACCAAAATTGAACCCTAAATTAATCTCTTTCCTCTTGCATTTTCTCAATCTAATTTTCAAGTGTCTCTTTTCATGGAGGGAGGTATAGGAGGAGGATGGGGTGGTGGTGATCTTGGAGTTTATGGGTTTAGAAACAACACACAACATCATAGCATATATAAAACAGGTCCTCCATTGACAGCCATAGATAGGTTCTTGTGGGGAAGTCATCAAAGTCAAAACAATGCAAGCAACAAAGATCATCAGAAGGTGGTTTCCTCAAATGGGTTGAGTGGTTTTGCTTCTTTTGGCGGTGGTGGTGCAATAATTAGTCATGAGGCAGCAGCTTCTTGGCCTAGCAATTATAGTGCTACTACTAATCATCTCCAAGAGCCAAGCTTTGTAGATGAATTTTTAGTTGGACAAGGAGAAGCCTTGATGATGAGTTGGTTTCAAGAGCAAAACCCTAATGCCACAGGTGGTTTCAGAGAAGAAGGAAGGGTTTCCGAAAGGAATTGCAAAGCGGTCGGAAAGAGAGCTAAAAAGGGTTTAACTGCTGCTACTTTAATAAAGGGACAGTGGACTGATGGAGAAGACAGGTAAAAATAGAGATATGTCTGTGTAACAAGAAACCTTATCATGTTTCTCTTAACTTGTCCTTGTTTTTTTCTTAAAGTTAATGAACTTTTCATGTTTCGATGTTCATGATTTCTTGAAGCCATCAAACAATGCTGCATGTAAAATTAATTGGGATTTTCTTGAAGTTTTTATCCATTTTTCATGTTTCGTTGTTTATAGGTCAATATTTCGAAGCCATCAAATAATATTTCATGTAAACTTAAATGGTTTTTTTTTTTTTTTTTTTTTTGGTTTGGTTTTGTTTTGGTGTGGTGAAATTTTCAGGAAGTTGATGAGGCTGGTGAAGCAATATGGAGTCAGAAAATGGGCACAGATAGCTGAGAAATTGGTGGGAAGGGCTGGCAAGCAGTGCAGAGAAAGATGGCACAATCATTTGCGCCCCGATATCAAGGTAATTTGTTCTTAGATCTCTTTGGGATGTTATAAATTTTGATGCATGAATAATCTAAGAAAATTGGCCGCTGGAATACACTTTTAGATTTGTACAATTAATTAGCTACAAGTTAGAATTTCACCATGAAAAAAGTATCCAAGTTTTGCTACATTTTTGCCTGGTTGTGATCTATGGCAAAGATACAGCAAAAAGTCAAGGGCGCAATTTGGATTGTGATTTGTGAAGGATCTATTTGTGGATCTCATAGATTTCCTCACTTTCCGTTTGGGGATTCAAATTTCATTGTCAAAACCCTAGTTCCAAGCTCAAGATCATTTAAGCATCTATTCTTCTACCTTTTGGATGTAAACATGTTCGTAAATGTTTATTTTGCTTAGGGTTTTTGTAATCAAATTACATCTTAGAAATGTCTAGAATTAGAGTAAAAATATTGATAGTAATCGAAATAGAAACTTTCTAGGGTTTCTGAGTTAAAAAACAGTAATTTATTGGATTTTTTCTTGCAGTACATAATTTGGTTCCCTATTGCCTATTATTTTTGAGAGTGCAATGTTCCATATTTTGTTTCTTGGTGATTTTGTTTTTTTTCAGAAAGATAGCTGGACTGAAGAGGAGGAGGCGATACTTGTTGACGCTCATACTGAAGTTGGAAACCGTTGGGCAGAGATTGCAAAACGCATTCCAGGAAGAACTGAAAACGCCATAAAAAACCATTGGAATGCAACAAAAAGGAGGCAGAATTCAAGGAGAAAAAACAAGCAAACTGAAGGCAAAAATGGAAACAACAAGAAGCCTCAGTCATCCATTCTCCAAAACTACATCAGGAGCAAGAACCTCATGAACAATAACAACTCCAATATTTCCTCTAGTACCCCTACAAGCTCTTCCACCCTCTCTCATGAAGATCCATCGAAAACCTACCTCAACATTTTGGTCACAGAGCCATCTGATCAGTCCACTACTAGCAACTGTTGTGATTCTCCATTGAATTTGGCTGACTCTTTATACAATGATGAGGAACTTGTTTTCATGCAAAATTTCTTCACCAACAATCCTTACAATCATCCTCAACAGCCTTCCAATTCCACTGAGAACAATGTTGGACTAATTGTTAGCCCAATGGAAGCCTCACAAAATCCAAACATGTACAATTTTAGTAGTTCTATAATTAATCCCACTACTACTACCACTACAACCAATACCCCCAGTCCTACTACTCCTACCCCTCAGTATTCTGACCTATACCTCTTAAATGGAGCAGCCAATTCATCATCTTATAATCCCAATGATCATCATCCTCACTTAGGGTTTTACAACACAAACATGGAATATTTGGTGTCACATGATCATCATCATCATCTTCAAGCTGCTGCTTCTGCTTCAAACGAAGGGCGAGAGATGGATTTGATAGAGATGGTGTCTGCTTCTCAAGGTACCTGATCCTTAACCTAGTACATGGTTCTAGGTTTGAAGAACTACTAGGACCTAATAAGTGATGGCCGGTCACCTTAGAAATTTGTGAAACCTGGATACTCTTTTTTCTTTTTCTTCTTTGTTGTCTGGATTTGAAATTACCAATATGGTGTTGGTTGGCTTAGTTACTGCTACATTGTTTATGGGGTGTAACTGAAAAAATGGTATGTGTGGTTTTTCGTTTTGTAGCAGCTGGACTATCAAGTTTCTTTTCTGCAGTTTCTTTTCAGTTTTCTGTGTCTTTTTCTTTACTTTTCCTAACGGCCTGTGATTCATGACTTTTTTTTTTATCTGAGAGTTTTGGTCGGTGGGCATGAAAGATAGCTAGAGTGGAATGCTTTTGCCCACCATTAATTATCTGCATGCATTGCATTTATTCAAATGAGTTTTCACGAAACACTCCAGGTATTATTTATTTTTAACGAAAATAATATTTTTACGCTAAAAAATCACTTCTGGTACTAATCACTTGCAACATTTTTTTGTTCTTTTGATTAAAACTCAAAGTTTTCAAACATTTTTCATTAGTTTTCCTTTTGTTCAATTGAATATTTCGGGATCACGTTTTTCTGTTTTCAGTTGATTTTAAAAGGAAATTAAGATGAAAGAAAAGTGAGAAGAATATTTTTGTTTTGTTCTTGGTTCACGTTTTTAGTTTTGTTAAGGTATTGTCGTGTGGATTTAAATTTTACATACGTTTGATATCAATTTTAGTAAAATCTTCAATTTTCAACATTTTATGAACCATCCCAAACCCCTTAATGTAGATAATATCGTTTGTTCATAAAGAATAAAATAAGAAGAATTTCAACATGATAGTGAAAATGAAACAAGGAAGAGAGGGGTCACTTTAGAATTTTAGAGGAATTATGTATTATTTGTACTGAAATCTGTTATACTCGAGGTTTCTCTTTATAAATTTATTTTCTTGATAAAAAATTAAAATAAATAAAGGGATGTGCTATCCACACATCTCATTTTACTTCACAAACATCCCTTGATAATTTATGTTTATTGATCTTCTTCAATTTATCTAATCCGACGGTCAAAAATTAAAAAAGTATGTAAAAAATAAAATAAGATATGTGGATATCACATCCCTAAATAAAAACATGAGAAAGGGGATGTGCATGGGCATGCGCGGGCATGCACTAGCTCTGTCCCTAGGCGTAAAAGTATTAAAATGGGCCAAATGGCCGCAACTAATACTCCTATGCAAATAGTTACGGAAATTTTTATTGAAATTCTAAAAAGTTATCATGTACTCTAAATTTATAAAAATACAAAAAAACAATTGTCTATGCAAAATAACAGTTTTGAAATATCAATAACATCATTCATAATTAACAGCTTCTGGATATCAGACTAGAATTCATATATAACAGATGATCAAATCCACAAGACGAGATTTATAGGAAAAACCACATTTTTTTGTTTTTTGGTTTTACCGTGTTTTCTTCCTCATTTTTCACCTTCCTCCACCTAATTTACTCCACTGTTTTTTTTTATCCAAGCTAACTGTTATCAAATCCGCCTATAGTTCATCAATTTTGGACATAAAATATTAGGCCCGTGTTTATCCATGATAATCAGTATCATCTAGATTATGGCTATTGGACCAGCAATGGAGTAACTCAATAGTCAGTACAAACTTGTCAAAATAATAATAATAATAATAATCTTTTATACTACTTTTTAATTGAACACTCTTTGTTAACTAAAATCAAGAAAAATACCATTATACTCTTCCACGCTTAATTAAAAGCAAAATCGTGGACATTGAAATAATTTCGCAGAAAATTTCTTTTGTTGTTCTTTTACTTCCTTCATCCTCATATAATCAAAGAATGTCTCTAATTTAAAAAATAAAAAGCTATCTCCTTACTCTCACATTCTCTCTCTTCCCCTCTCTCTTTCATTTTTCTCTCAAACAAAACTCTCTTCATCCATGTATTTCTTTCTTTTTAAATCTTTTATATTCACACACACAGTGTGTGAACTTCATCTAGTAACTACTAACAAATGAGCTTCACATAGTTGAGCTAGAAACAAACATTATTGAGCCTAAGATCGAGCTCAAATATATGGAGAAAATTTTTAGATGATGATCACTACAAGAAAACATAGCTTCGGTGGCGACAGACATTCGTTACATAAACATGAAAATTCATCATGTTTGATTATATGTGACGAAAACGTAGCGTCACCTATAGTTTAGTGACTAATTTTTTCATTCGCCACATATTTTTAGTATTAGTGACGCCACATTTGTCACTTAATAACTTTATGAGCGACGAAATAAGCATCACAAAAACAAAAGTTAGTGACCTATAAGTTCGTCACATAACAAATGTATAAGTGAGGAATTTATCATCACACAATTTGATCGTAGAATGCTATGGCTGATGATAAGTGAGATTGAAAGCGTCACATATTCCTTTGGCATGTGGCGCAATTTATGTCACATGTGTCAAATTCATATACCTATTAGGAACAATTCATACTCTGCTTCATCATCTAGAATTAGCACTTATAACAATATGAGGTAATACTTTGGTTAATCGCATTTCATTGATCAATAAGTTAGGAAACATCCAATACATACACCAAGTATATCCCAAAAGCTAACATAAGCATCCTACCACTCTAGACATATTTGAGTGCTAATAAGATTCTAAGCCCTAAGTGGTAATAAACAGGTATAACCGATGTGCATGTTGTGAAACTGTTTGTACCATAATTTGACCAATCTCGAAACTACTGAGCACCGTCACGTTAATATCCGTAAAGGACCAGAAGAGTTTCCTCCAACAGGAGGCAATCACTGTGCGACACGTGTCGACATCAGAAGCCATCAAAGTGCGACAAATGTTCAACATCAGAAGCAATCCAACAGACACGTGTCAATGTAAAATGAAACTAGAAACTCTTTCTATAAATAGAGATAATTCTCTCACTTACTTCCGAAATGTCATTTGTACTAAAATTCATTCGACTAGTATCACTAAATGAGAAGCGAACCTATGTACTTGTGTAAACTCTTCAAATTAACTGCCGCGCCATTCACTACTTCGTAGTGTAGCCAATCTGGTGAAACGTACATCTTGTGTTTGCTTCCTATCCCTATCCCATTTACATACTTATCCACACTAGTGACCGAAGCAATCTAGCGAGGTCAAACTTAACAATTCTCTTGTGTACCAAAGTCCTTCATGATTTGTGCATCAACATCTATGGCGATGTCTGTGGGAATGACATTATCCCACTCTCTTCGTTTGCAAGTTGGTTCCCAACCATCTGTTTTCTCTCTTTTGACCAGCGCTCCTTCTCCAACATGAGGAGCGAGGCAGCCACACAACCACAGAAAACACCTCTCTTGCACTATGCAGAACGAAAGAAGGAGGAAAAGGTTGCTCTTCAAGTAAAGTCGATGAACTAGAAGCTCAGAACAATCAAGATAGATGAAGAATGGTTCTCCAGGAGACAGTATGAGAAGCTCTTGAATCGCTCGCAACAAAACTAGGCTACTCAAACAGCGAGCTCGTTGCACTTGTGGACATCAACCAATCATCTGGGTGCCCCCAACACGGAGTGTCAATCCTTTCACAGGGTTACCCTGATGAGAACGAGCAATCATCAAACATCGATCATCAGGACTCTCTCAACCACAGATGCTTCGACTCGAAGTAGAAGAAGTGGAGGAAGACACCCTTACAGAAAGGTTGGAAAGATCGAAAGCCGTTTATCGTGACTGCCGATACTCCTCCTAAAGCAACATCGAGAGAATCCCTCCACATATGCTCGATAGATCAATGAGCCAGGGTTTTCTGAAAGCATCGGTCCCTTCCACGACCCAGCCAGCTTCCAATCTCGGGAAGGAACGACAGGTTCCCAAAAGGAACATGAAGTACAGAGGACTCTGAGGTATTTCGACGCTCGCCTAGAAGTCAGTACGGCGAGTCAAGAAAAACCACACCCCTTGCTCAACACTTTCCTACTTCTAAGAGGCGATGGAGACCTTACGAAAGAAAATCCAGGTACAAGACTCACTCAGACTCCCTTGCTACGCTTCTTGAGAAGTAAACAGTTGAAGGCGAACATCAGGCCGAGATAACCTGACTACAACAACCCAGGCCTGGCCCTCTCAAACAAGATCATGGACATCTCCTTCAAGCCGAAACAAACAAAAGCTGGTTTAAACTCTATACACTGGAAGGGAGGACCCAATGTACACCTTTAACCTCTTTTGAGTCCACCATGGCAATATGAATGCACACCGACGAAGAGCGATGTCTTCTCTTCCCCTCCACCCTCTCGGGCGAAGCTCTAATATTGGTATTGCCGTCTTCACCTGAGCACAGTAGACTCATTTGAGGAATTGAGGACTGTTTATCCTCTTCACACTCTCAAATGATCATTTTGCACTCTGCAGATGCTTGTACACTATTCGCTAGAAGCTGATTGTCACTACGAGAGTGTTCGGTCGCTTCAGCCATGAGTTATTCCGACTACAGCTGACGAGTTGACAAGAAGCCCCCTCAGGGCCTCACAGCAGGCTACGTGATTGTTTTTCAAGTACATGACAATGCCAACACTTGGAAGACTTACTCTGAGTGTGGCACAGGCTTACACCATGCTCCGCCAAAGCAAAAGGACATATCAAAAGGGAACCCCCATATGGTTAATCCCCTATCAACAAATGGGAATGGAAGTAAGTTCTACCAAGTAGAATATTGGTCACAGACACCCATGCCATATCTCCGCTCATTTAGCTACTCGCTAAGTCACAAACGTATTGTCTAACTTGGTAAGAGAAGGATTTTTACTTCAGCAAGTCCCTCTAAACAGAGTGATAAAAGTTGTATCAAGCACCAGGGGTGAACGTTCCCGTCGACTATATGACTATTGGCTGCCTCACTCTTTCAAAGTTTGAGGACTAGGTAACTAAGGAATGCTATTATAAGAAG